AGGATCGTCTCCCTGGTCTCATGGAACTCATCACTAGAATCCTTGCTTGCCGAGACCTCCAGCTTGAACGCCTTCTTCCGGTTGGCCTTGTGCTTGATTCGAGGCATGGCGGAGGTTGGGTTTCTAGTTTTTGCATGGAGAGAGAAGAGGACTATTGGGAGTGTTTAAAGGAGACGGAGGACGATTGTGGAGTAGGGTGAGGGAGGAGAGTGGGGAACGTAGGTCTTAAAAAGGGAAAACGAACTTTACATTAATTCTCCACGTTTTTTTCAATTTTAAAATTTCCTCCCAAATTCATGATAATTATTTCCTCTACCCCAAAATCTTGATAATTACTAACCTCTTTCCATAAAAATGATGAAGCTGCATTTGCGTTAGATGCCTACCTACATGTCTGCCATGCTTCAAAGCTCCCACCTGTTTTATGTCTCTGCCTTCATCAGCAACATCACCACATTATTGTTGCAGCCTGCTTTTTTCTAGTAAACCACTCTAAGCTTGACTTCAAACTTATCCCCTTGCAAAAATAAAACTAACAAAATTAACTTGCAAGAATTAAATACAAACGAATCAACTATCTAAAATGCAAAATTAATCTGTGATTTGGCATTAAATGCTGCTATGTTATTCATTCGTTTTGCAGTCTCAGTCTGTGCCGAAGTGGTGGGCTCCAGCATCTCACACCACGTTCATGCCATATAAATGCTTCAGCCTCTTCCTGTTCACCGTAAATTCTCTTCCTGAATCACTTACTTGCACCTTGGTGGCTCCATCGGGGTAGATATGTGAGACTAAAAATGGACCTGACCATTTAGAGTTGAGATTTCCTCGGAAAAGCTTCATCCGTGAGTTGTAAAGCAATAATTGCTGGCCTTTTTGAAACTGCCTTGGCTGGATTCCTGCATCATGCCAACGCTTAGTATTTTCTTTATATATTTTGGCATTTTCATAAACATCTCTGCGAAACTCCTCAAGCTCTAACAATTGCAAGTGGTGTACTTCTCTAACTGTAGCATGGTCAAAATTTATCTTCTTGACGTCCCAAAACGCTTTATGCTGCAGAACTAACAGGAGGTGGCATGGTTTTCCAAAAATCAGTTTGTATAGGAAGTACCCAGAGGCGCTTTGAATGTGGTGCGATAAGCACATAAAGCATCATCTAGCTTCATTGCCCAGTCCCTTCGATTTGTGCTAACTACTTTCTCCATGATGATTTTGATTTCCCTATTGGATATTTCTGCTTGCCTCTTCAATTGAGGATGGTAAGCTGTGGATATTTTATTCCTGATGTTGTACTTAGCAAGGAGGGATGCTACAGCTTTGTTGATGAAGTGGGAGCCTTCGTCACTGATCACTACTCTGGGTACGTCAAACCTTGTAAATATATGCTTGTGTAGAAACTTGGTGACCACTTTTGCATCACTGCTGGAGCATGCTACTTCCTCGACCCATTTTGATACGTAGTTAACCGCTAACAGAATGAAGAGATGTCCATTTGATGGAGGGAAGGGTCTCATAAACTCCATACCCCAAACATCGAAGATCTCCACCTCTAAGATGTATGTGAGAGGCATTTCAGACTTCTTTGAAATATTTCCAACCCTCTGGCATTCATTACATTGTTGAACTAACTCGTACGAGTGTTTGAAGATAGTAGGCAAGAAGTATCCACTCTAGAAGACTTTAGTTGTTTTGCGCTGCCCCACAAAGTGCCCACCATATGGTGCGAAATGGCATTTGGTCAGCACCTGACGTGCTTCAGCATTGGCAATGCACCTTATTATCATCTTGTCTTAGCAAACCCTATAAAGGAATGGATCATCCCATAGGTAGAATTTGCTCTCATGCAAAAACTTTTTCAGCTGCTGCTCATTCATGTCAGCTGGCAATATTCCACTAGTGATATAGTTAGCTAGATTAGCGAACCATGACTCTTCTTCGTCATTTACTACTTCAATCGCCAACACCTGCTCATCTGGAAATGTCCCTTTAATTTATGTTTCTTCCCTTGAGCTTCCTAGATCAGTCAACCTGGACAACTGGTCAATAACCAAAATTTTCGTTCCTTTCTTGTCCTTGATCTCTATGTCAAACTCTTGCAATAGCAAAATCCAGCAAATCAGTCGCGATTTAGCGTCGTTTTTTGTGGAAAGATATTTCAATGCTGCGTGGTCCGTGTAGACAATCACCTTGGATCCCACCAGATATGCTCTGAATCTTTTAATTCCTTCTCCGTGGCGGTGTAATTTATTTTTACTTCTATCAGAGTTTTGCTGGCATAATATATCGGATCAATAACTTTCATTTGCATTGAGCAAGGAATGCTCATACAGCATTGTCTCTGGCATCACACGTCAGTTTAAAAGGTTGTGTCCAATCTGCTGACGTTATTATCGATGCATGGGTGAGAACATATTTCATTGTGTTGAACGCCTGCAAACAATCAGATGTGAAGTTAAATTCTTTATCGTTCCCAAGCAAATAACAAATAGGTTTATAGATTTTCGAAAAGTCCTTTATGAATCTTTGATAAAAACCAGCGTGCCCCAAGTAGCTATGAATACCCCTGACATTCACAGGTGGGGGCAATTTATCTATTGCCTCTATCTTTACCTTGTCTACTTCAATGCCTTTGCTGGAGACTCTATGTTCTAACAATATTCCCTCCTGCACCATGAAGTGGCATTTCTCCCAATTCAATATCAGATTTGTTTATTGACATATTTGCAGCACCTTCTTCAGATTTTCCAAACACTCTGCAGAGGACTTCCCAAACACTGAAAAATCGTCCACAAATACCTCAAGTACTGATTCTACCAAGTCATAAAACATGGCCATCATGCACCTTTGGAACGTTGATGAGGCATTGCAAAGCACGAATGACATCCATCTAAACGCAAACGTCCTGTAAAGACAAGTAAATGTCGTCTCCTGCTGATCTTACGGAGCTATCGTGATCTGATTGTACCTGCTGTAGCCGTCTAGAAAGCAGTAATACTATTGCCCTGTAAGTCTATCTATCATTTGATCAATGAAGGGGAGAGGAAAGTGGTATTGCCTTGTGGCTTTATTCTGCTTGCAGTAATCTATACATATACGCCGTATTGTCACCGTTCTTGTGTGTATTAACTCCTTCTTTGCATTTTCCACTATAGTCATGCCTCATTTCTTAGGCACACACTGAACTAGGCTTACCCGCTTGCTATCTGAAATGGAGTATGTGATACTTGCATGTAACCACTTAATAATCTCCTTTTTCACTTCCTCTTTCATGGCTGGATTAAGTCTGCGGTGCGGCTCTATGGAGTTCTTGCACGCTTCTTCCAGTATGGTCTTATGCATGCAAAAACTTGGGCTTATTCCCCTGGTGTCAGCGATAGTCCATCCAATAGCCTTCTCATGTGGTTTTAGTACGCTCAGCAACATTTGCTCCTTCTCCATGGGTAGGTATGCTGCTATGATGATCGGCAATGTGTGAAACGAACCCAGTAGGAATACCTCAAGAGCTGAGGTAATGCCTTAAGCTCTAGGACTAGTGGCTCTTCTACATATGGCTTCAGCAGTTTATACTCACGATTCGCCAGATCTAAGGACTCGCATGTGCTTTTAGTTGACCTTTCACTATAGTCTAGGCAGATAACCTCAGGTTCCTCCTCAATATTGTCACTGTCGCTTCCAGAGTCGACAACTTCCAGATGCTCTAGCATGGCTTATGCTTCCAACTCTTCCATTGATGCTTCATCTAGAATCATCCGCACCGAGTACTCTTTTGACTCAGCAGGGAATTTCATTGTATCGTACACTGAGAAATTTACTTCCTGATCTTGGACTCGAATTGTCAACTCTCATTTGTGGACGTCCACCAACGCTCTTCTCGTTGCAAGAAATGGCCTCCCAAGGATGATAAGGACATCCTTATCTGCATCATAATCCAAAATAATAAAACCAGCAGGGAAAATAAAACATCTTCAATTTTTCCCTCTAGATGCGTGATGGATCGGTCCGCAAGTTGCAATGTCACCGTTGTTGGCATCACTTCTCCTATACCCAACTTGTTGTAAATGGATACAGGCACGAGGTTGATGCTGGCTCACATATCACACAATGCAAGCCCTATTTTTTGTCCTCCTATGGAAACAGGTATTGTGAAGCTCTCAGGGTTATTCATCTGTCCTGGAATTTTGCTTGTGAGGATATTGCTGCAGGCCTTGGTCATTGCCACAGTCTACTATTCTCCCAGTTTTCTCTTCTTTGTGAGTTTCTCTTTTAGGAACCTCACATAATTTGGCATTTGCTATAGAGCCTCCACCGAATGTATGTTAACATACAGTTGCTTCATCACGTCTAAGAATTTCTTAAACATAACGTTCTGCTCTTTCATCTGCAACTGCTTCGGATATGCTGGTGCCTGTCTTTATTTTGCTGGAGCAACTGCATGCTCTGCCTGCTTTTTTTTCTCCAGCACCCTAGTCTGCATTGGTTCAGCCTTGGATGCTTTAATATCCACTGGGTTGACCTTCTCACTAGAGGTATTCTGATCTTTTCTTGGTTGCGCAACAATTTCCAGTGGTGGAATGTGTGAGCTATCTCTGCTAGCTGAGACTCTTCTGATTCTTCTTAAGTAGGCTCGCTCACTGCCCCTGGTGCATTTGGACGTGCTAGAGGTAATGCTTTCTCATTTCACAGTGTGAGAGCCTTACATTGCTCATTGTTATCCCTCTTTGGTACTTCAGTATCACTCAGCAATGCTCCGTAGGGCGCGCTTTTCAAATTAGTTGCGAACTGGTGTACTTGCAGCTTGAGATTTCTTAGTGATGCGGCCTCGATCTCCATAGTGGCATCATTATTAGCCATATACTACTTCATCAGCTTTTCTAACTATGCAACGATCCTTCTGAAGACTTCTGTGTCACCACCTGACCTTGATTCGCACCTCCTGGGGGATAACTTCATTTCTGCCGATATGCTGGAGCATTGGATGTGCCAGCATTATTTCTACCCCAATTTCCACTCCAACTAAAGTTGGGTGGTTTCTCCAGTCCGAGTTATACGTATTGGAATATGGGTTGTTTCTGCTATTCTATGGATTCCCTAAATAGTAATCTGACTCGAGATTGCAAGGGCATCTATTATAATGATGATGTCCTTCCTAGAAAGAACAAGATATCTCGTTGATGTGGCTAACATTTGCTTTGTCGGCAGATGCTCCAACTGTATTTTGTTGTGTCATGCTTCTTATCACTAACTCTGTCAGGTTCTCAATATTTGAGTTTAGACCAGAGTATGACTCAAATTTATTAAGTCACTCGCTTCCTCTACAATGAATAGCTCTAGGGTCAGACCATGAATTATTGTTCGATGATATCCTTTACAAGATATTAAATCCTTAACCATAAGGTTTTGCTAGCAATGCGCCATTTCTTAAGGCATCGATGACCAAACGCATCGCATCGTTCAAACCATTGTAATACGTTTCGATCTGGATGCATACTGGGATTCCATGGTTAGGGCTTTTTTTAAAAAGCAGCTTGAAACGCTCCCACGATTCGCTCACTGACTCCCCAGCAAATTGCTAAAAATTGTTGATATCACTTTGGTATTTAGCGTTTTTGTTGGGTGGGAAGTACTTCATCATAATTTTTTCAACCAAGTCATCCCAACTTGTAATTGATTTTGAAGGCAGCGATTCTAATCAAGTTATCGTTTCATATCTGAGTTAGTAGGGGAACAACTTAAGGTTTAACACTTCCTTGCTCCACCATTCATTCTTAAACGAATTGCATACCCCCATAAAACACTTCAGATGCCAATGCAGGTCTTATGGAGGATGTTCGTGAAACTGACCCACAATTTGGAGCATCTGAAACTTCACTGGCTTGAGTTCGAACTTTTGGGTTGCGATTTATGGCTCCGTGATTACTAGGTTGAAGTTCTAAAATGTTGGAGCTACATATGCCCTAATTTCTTTGTCGATATCATTTGCTAGTAATACATCATTAAGAGGGGGCACTTCTACCTCAGGGTTAGCAACAACAAGAACCCCATCGACTATTTCTTCAATCCTCGCATTCGGTGAAATAGGCTGGCACAACGGTGGGTTAGGCGGATTCATATTTGTTTTAGCTTGGATTCTCCCTTGTTCTATTCGATTCATATGAAACGTGTGTTCTATCTCGTGATCTATAATATATTCCATGTTCTGAAAATTGTTCATGCACCTACAACCACACAAAAATGCGAGAAAGAGAAAACTAGATTAAGCACTATATCTACAAACTATTCTTTAAAATAAAATCACTAAGTCCTCGGCAACAGCGCCAAAAACATACTGCGTCCACACAATCATGTTGTCAATACGTGCAAGTATACACGAAACTACCGATTGTAGCACAAAACGAGGTCGAATCCACAGGGACTTTGGATAATATTCTAACGATGTTCACAGATACCAAAATGTAAAAACAAGGAAATATAGGTGGCGTGTTGTGACTAAACGAAATATAACAAATAAGGCAATAAAAGATTTGAATACCAACCACACTTCACAAAGCTCATAACAAAAAGAGGTTATAAC